CTTTGTTAATTTGTCTTGACTTTTGTAATTTTGTTTTCTGAAAAGTTAATTTGATTTGCCCTTATCGGCCACCGTATCTTATGTATAATCATAATTACTCTCTCTATAGACAACTAAATTGGAATAATAAATACACCATATTTAAGAATAAATCCCCTTTCTTACACAATTGGGTTGAAAACAACATTTTATTAGTGTCCTAACTGTTTAGTCAAGAGGGGCAGTTGCTCTCATATTCTGAATTGCTGACCAAATTCAATATTCCAAGACATTGAGAGTATGCTATCGTTTTTGACGCAATTCCTTTAGGTCTTATGAAACTTCTGCAAGATAACAACATACCAGACTGCCAATATCTATAACAGATGTCACTATGAATGGTATTACAGTCTAAATTGTTTTGGAATTCCCAGTTTGAAAATATCAATTGGAATACGTCATGGACTTTAAGCAACAAATATTGTGTAACTAACAAAGTAAAAGAAATTTTATTTAAAATTTTACACTTAATCTATCCCACAAACAAACAGTTAAATAAATACAGAAATGAAATATCTGATCTTTGCTCCTTTTGTGGTATCTGCAAGGAAATCATTCCGCACTTGTTTTATAATTGTTTACATGTCAAATACTTTTGGATTGAGATAGAACATCTGTTTGAAACATTGTCTGGTTTTAAGATTTTTTTAGATAGAAAAGATATTCTATTCTATTATGGGAAAAACAACTTAAATAGTAATTATGTTTTTATTTTAAATCTGTTTATTTTATATGGTAAATTTTATGTTCACAAATGCAAATGGTCCTCAAAGAAGCCTAATATATGCCAGCTTAAGTTGGAATTGAAATTTTATTTTAACACATTGAATGGACTTAAAAAAACCGAAAAGCTGTAAAAACTATCAATTTATATAAGGCCCTGAAGAATCTTTTGTAAATGACAGAACATGTACCCCTCTTTCTTTAAGATGTAATTCGTATTTGTTATGTTTTTTACATTATATTTGTATACTATTGAAAAAAGCAATAAAAATAAAAAAATCTAAAAAAAAAATCTAACCATGGTGCATCGCGTCAGGACCAGAATGCATTGCTTTAAGCCAGCGCTGTAAGTGGCTGCATGAAGTCGAATGCACCCATATATAGCAATATATCACCTCTTGTTATATTTTGGCCGCCAATGAAGTAAAACATTTATTTCGAAACAATCATGGATACAAACCTCAATCCTGATAAGCTGTGTACACATGGCAATAAAACTTTGAAACTTGAAATTTGGAAAAAGCACACAAATAACTACAATTCCCAAGCGTCAGCGCGGCTGCCAGCTGACCGGGGTATTCAAACAGCGGTCCTCTTTTAACGTGGTCACCGTCTTCTGTACGCGACTTTGACAGCAGTTGTTTGTTTGTTGGTTATGGTGAAAGACATGTCGGGGAAAACTAAAAGCCGAAGCGCAACAAATGCAGAATTAACTTCAATTTCTTGCTACGAGCGCATCTTACAGGAATGTCACCAGATGTACACAGAAGTGGATAGCGGTGCGCTATTTTAGCCTGCTTAAATTTATTTAAAAGATTGATTTTGTTTCAGAGAGTGTTTCATACGTTAGCCGTTTTCGTACTGTCATCTGTTGCGTATGTATTATATCTGCGTGTTACGCTGTTCTAATGTCACGTGACAAAGTTCTTTATGTTTCGTAAACATTTATTTTATTTAGAATGCACTCAAAGGCTTGTTGTGCATGCTTTAACGTGCAATATTTTTCTGTTTTAGGTTTGATTTCCTTGGCTCAGTCAGTAGGAGTAACTATCCTACCGCCGCGAAAGAAAATCACGGTCATGCTAATGGGGAACCACTCTGCTGGCAAGAGTTCTTTCATTAACTGGTAGCTAATGCATCGTAATGCTTTACGAATGTTTCTCACGTGTTTGCAGGTTGTCAGGGATTCCCCAGCCAAAGTAATCAACTGAGAATAATTGGTGTATTATGATTTTAGTCTGATAATGAAAATCCTGCCTTTGCGATCTGGTGCCTTATGGGGAATGTTTCCCTAAGGCAAATGAAGGACCTAATTAAGTATCGTATAACATACTATACATGTCAATTAGTGAATAAGTCGGTATGTTTTTGACGCCATTCGTAAACAATTTGCTGTTTTCAGTTGTTTGTTGTCTCTTTCAGGTATGTGGAAGAGCACATCCTGCGGACTGGAGTGGCCATTGAAACACAAGGCTTCAGTTTCGTTACCAGTGGTCGCAAGAGAGAGTCTCTTACCGTGAGAAGAAGCTATATATAAGACTCTGGCACCTTAAGCTGTGTAGTGTGTAACCAGCATCTCTTTATCTTGGGGGGAAAAAAACTTCCGTTTTGGTTCACATCTGTTTAGTGACGCCCGGGCTGTACATTGCTGCGTAATCCGAGTGATCTGGCTCTACATGGAATTCTAAAATGAATAACAAATTATGAAGCTAAAATGCAATTTAAATACACCAAGTTGCAATCTGTTGTTCACGTATATCGGAATATTTGAGGGATGAAATGTTTCTGCAGCTGTCTTGTCTTTATTTTATAACATGAAGTCATATATATGCATGAAATGGACATCCATTGCTAATTCATTGCTAATCTCAATTCCTGTGGTGCAGATATACTGATCCTTACTGATAGTTCTGTATGGTTTGTTGCTAATGCATTCTTATCACTTTACTGACATACCGAAAGAATGAGATCGCGAATACAGGCGGCCGAAATGAGGTTTCTCCGCAGGGTGTCTGGGCTTTCCCTTAGGGATAGGGTGAGAAGTTCGGATATCCGGGAGGGCCTCAGAGTAGAACCGCTGCTTCTTCACGTCGAAAGGAGCCAGTTGAGGTGGTTTGGACATCTGGTGCGGATGCCTCCTGGGTGGCTACCCGGAGAGGTTTTCCGTGCATGTCCTACAGGGAGGAGGCCCAGGACTCGCTGGAGGGATTATATCTCTCTGCTGGCCTGGGAATGCCTCGGTGTCCCCCCCGAGGAGCTGGTAGAGGTAGCTGGGGAGAGGGAGGTCTGGGTGCCTCTCCTGAAGCTGCTGCCCCCGCGACCCGAACCCCGGACAAGCGGCAGATGATGAGGATGAGGATGAGGACATACTGATGAACTGTGGCACTCCATGAAGTGCAATTGATGCCTTATTATCTTCCAACATCTCTCCCACTCTGGAAATGGCATGTAGTGCATAGATGTGTAGGGTTTAAGTAGTTTAATTCTCTCATATTTATTTATCTTTAGGGGAATGCAACTCTACATCTCTACCCTCACTACAAACCTCTACAAGAGTTTGCAGGTCAGGAAAAAGGCCCTCTTGTTATATAATTGTCAGCAGGCATGTTGGGTGTTCATTGGTTCATGCCGGATCAGGGGTGTCAGAGTACCTCAGCACGGAGATCTGCACTTCTCGACAGAAGCACTTCAGTCTCCTTACCTTTGTGGACTCACCTGGCCTGGTGGATGGGGATATGAAGTACCCGTTTGATGTGGATCAGGCTCTTCTTTGGCTGGGTGAGAAAATTGCAGAGAATGAGAATTTCATGCATCCATCATTTTCAGATACTACAGGTCGGACGCCTCTTTAATGCAGACTCTCTAGTACACTATGTAGACACTCTAGCAGAGCTGTCACAATTACTTGATTTAAATCTCGATTTAATTATGTGTGTGTGTGTGTGTGTATATATGTGTGTGTATATATATATATATATATATATATATATATATATTTATATATTAGGGGAGGGATAATTATTTGACGTAATCGATGATGTCGATTATAAAAATGCAACTTTAGTGTGGACGCGTTGTGTAAAACTATGTAAATGTTTTGTAACTGCAATTTTAAGTGATAAGATAAACGTATTGTAAGGGAAAGTACTTTATCCCCTCAGGAGCACGTTAACACTGTCCTTTTAAGAATCACGCAGTAAAACAGTCTGCTAATAACTGAACTTTACTGTCCACCTGATGATCTCTTCACTACTGGAGAGCTACAATATTTTATTTATTGGACCTGCGGCATGGTTTTCATTTACAATACAAAGTTATTCTGCTAATAAGCTAGCTAGTTGTTTCACTGCTGGCACCGTTAAAACTATATCAATTATATCGTTTACGACTACTCTTACACACTGTAGCCTAAATCGTTCCTTGCTCATTGAAGTAAGCTTAACTATAGTGTTTGTTAAAAACATGTTTCTCTAGTTATGAAATCATTCCATGTTTTAGTATCTATTTCAACATTTAAGTCAAATTGGTGTACTGAAATAATTATTGTGTGTGTGTGGGGGGGGGGTGAATTGTATTAAATGACTAACTTGGAAATAATTGCTTATCAATAAATTTATCATCAGATCGATCAAAAAATTAGTTGTCATATTAGTCGAATAATCGGAAAAAATAATCGCTAGATTAATCGTTTAAAGAATAATCGTTTGGGACAGCACTAATATATATATATATATATATGTGTGTGTGTGTGTGTGTGTGTGTGTGTGTGTGTGTGTGTGGGAAAGCCTCAGTTGTGTGGGAGCACATTACACTAAAAGTGAATGAAAATGCAGTTGTTGCAGAACTTGTATATCACACAGCACTGCTGCAGTGCAACAATATCTTAAGAGGACATCTATGGGCTTTCCCAATAATCCGAGGTTAGCCATAAATAATTATAAGCTATGAGCCCTTTCGCCTCTTGGAGTAGCCTAGCCTGTCTTTGCCTTGGAGTAGCCTAGTCGTAACTTTGACTTAAGTAATTTGAGCCAAATAATTTTATGACTCCAATATCTCTTGATAATCACCGCTAAAATGAGGGCTAGCTCCATAACTTAGCTGCCTTGTCTTGCATAATAGTATACTGTATAATTGCCATATTATATGAATTAATAACCATTTTCTGTATGCGTGTGTGTATACATAATATCAAATACTCATCTGATTTGTGTATAATTTAGTTTTGCGATGTGAATTTTATTTTGTATTGAGTAGGAATATGAGATTTAGTGATTTTTTTTTTTTTGGATATGTATTGCAATATTTATAAAATAATAGGGTGAAAATTCTTCCAATGTGTTGAAAACGTATTTGAACAGAACATATCTACCAACAATCTGTCAAATAAGCTTGTGGTGTTTGTGCTAAGTGACACAAAGCAGTGCTGACAAATCACTTGCTTTTGCTCAATTTTGTCCCTATGGAATGTTTTTCAATGACCGGTTCTTGTTCGCTTTTTTTCTTTTTCTTTTCTCGTTTGTTATTTCTCAAACCCACCACTCTATGCGTTGCATGTAGTGCAGAGATTTGTTGTACCAACAGCAAGGACAAAAATAATGATGCAGAGCTCATGCAAAAGCAGTGGTGGTGGATTGTTAAAATTGTTGCGCTTGCTAGCTAAGTTTGTTTTCTATAAAACAAAATGTTTTAGCAAAACTTATTGTCTTTACCTGGCTGACTATTGCAGTTCTTCTGATGTGACAGTTGCATGTGCATAACATGCCATGTCGATATTAATGTCGCACATTGTGCCGGACTAGTATTCTGGGCAGCACAGTGGTACAGTGGGTAGCACTGTGGCTGCACATCACTGCTTTGTGTGTGTGGAGATTGTGTGTGTGGAGAGTGCATGTTCACTGTTTGTGTGTGTATGTGTGTGTGTGTGTGTTTATGCCAGATCCTGTGTTTTCCCCCAAGAAACATTCTACTCAAATAAACAGGAGTGTCTAAATGTGCGAGAGAATGACTGTTCACCCTGTGATGGTGTGGCACTTCGTTCAGGGTTGGTTCCTATATATACTTACATATATATTTACATTGAGAATCGGCTTATGTCATGCTTCTAGTGTATCAGTGTCTTTCCATTTCCTCTCGCCTCAGGTAATCTGTGTGACCTTATTCTGGTGTTCTTTGACCCGATGGGCCAGGCGTTGTGCAAACGCACCCTGAATATTGTGGAGAAGCTGAATGAGAGCCATGGTGATAAGCTGCGGTTCTACCTGAGCAAAGCAGATGAGGCGGGCAGTGAGTCAGACAGACAGGTATCTGGGGCAGCTGGCAGCTCTGGCTTCTCATGGTGCTGTCCTCTAACCCTCAGGTCTTTCCAGTTCCCTGTAATACTGAAATGTATAATGCATAGCATTCTGTTGTGAACTAAATACTCCACCAGCTCATGAGAGAGCTTTTGTAATTTTTTGTAACTGTTTACATTGTCCTGTAGGAGTGAACAGATCATTCAGTGAGTGATGTGCTGTTTTACAGAGAGTGATGATGCAGATTGTTCAAGAGCTGTGCAAGAGACCAGGACTCAACAAGTGTGCATTTGACATGCCTACCATTTATATTCCAAACCCCAATAAAGTAATAATATGAGAAAACCTTTGCCTTGCTTACAAATGTATGCATGTTCAAGCACTTGCATTTTGCTCTGGTTTTTGGTTAAATCTGTAAAACTTAGTGCCATCAATGCTAAAATTCTTTGGATCTGGCCAAACAGTGGAGGATGTTCTAAGATGTGTATTGAGTGCTATGTGATATTCATTAAACATTTGTTTCCATTTTTTCCAAAACTAAAGTGTACATTTAAACACCTTTTTTGTTCTCTCCCGTTTCTTTGCCCAGCCCAGTCGCTGTGTCAATCAAATTGAAGACGTGTGCCGGACCATTGAGAAGACTTTTAACCAGACTGTACAGAACACACTCAATTCACTGGAGAAGGACTGCCAGCTCATCACAGATGCCATCCGTAACGCGCTAAGCACTGACAGGTACTGATGAGCCCGACATCAGAAACAGCTTGTAGGTGGATTTTGACCACTTGATAGAAAAAGAAATGAATACAGGGGTGATAGCGTTCGGGCACCACGCTGGATTTCCGGCGTACTGTGGCTGCGGAAAAAAAAAAAAATCAGGTTCGCGGATATTGATCTGTCATTTCTCTAGATCTGAGATGCGCAGGTCAGAGAGCAGCTTTAACGCTGAACGACTCAAACAATACACATACTAGCCGATGAGCCAGTCAGAAGTATGGAAGGGGCGGGCCTTGTGTCTTTGTCAAATAGATTGATACAGGTTAAGGCAATGCTCCATGCGCGAAGGTGTTTTTAGCTCCCATACTGTACAATGCGCTATATGCACGCTCACTTCCGCATTCTGACTTAGACGGCTGCTTCACTTCCGGTGCAGGCTATTTCACGATTACAGAATGGCTCCGTCAGACGTGAAACCTAAGGAAAATGTTATATTCGCGGTGCGGGAAAATGCTGATTCCGCTACTGAGCTATAAGTGAATTGCCTTCCTATTTCATGGTCCGAGATTGTTTCAGAAAGGTCCTATCATCAATAGAACCGGCGAGCTCCTTTTAAACACCAGCTGCAATTAATATACTTCAGCGTATCATACCTTTGGTTTTTGTTAATAGGCAATAGCATAATGCATTAGTATACCGCTAACCCATCAAAACAACAATGAGACAGTCAGTAATTTTCACAGCAGCGGAGTCGGTGACCTCCAAAAAAGCCGTGAAACCCACAA